GAAAGCCATTTGGTCTACGCCAGCTCATAGAAAGAGGTTTCCAATCAGCTCTACTCATTCTGAATCCTGTTTTGTTTCTTTTCTTTTCCTGTAGCATATTTCGAGTTCTGTTTTGAAAATTAAAATTAAAGCTGCCTCCCCCATTCCAGATCATTGTAACTTACTGCATAAGAAATACAGCCCTCTCATCCTCCCTCTGCTTTTTCTGGCCATCATTTTAAATCTGTTCCCTTTGTTTGTCAATAATCTCACCAGTGGAATAACTTTCACTTTTTCGTTCTTATTGAAACCCTTCATGAGTTTGACAACCTTGATTAAAATCATCTTCTCTAGACTCCTCTCTGAACTGACATTTGTTGTCCAAGGGATACACACAGATTGAGAACTTTAATTTGACACTGTTTTTTTTGTGAAACCTTTCTGTTCCATCTTCTCAGGCTAAATTCTTCAGACAATGTATTTCCTATGTTAGAGGGGAGGGCCTATTTGTGACCTGCTATTTATGTTGCTCTTAGCTGTGAGCCAACAGTGAAAGTCAATGGTTCATTGATGTTGTTCCTTCACCTCTTCACATCTCACTGTGGAGAGTGACCTTTGCTTTCTGATTGGTGTTTCCTGATGGCAAACATTAGCAGCTGAATGGAAAATTCATTAATCCAGTGTAGGGTGGAGTACGTTATACAGTGCACAGACATGCAGTCATTACAGTCTTTTGTTCTAAAGAAACAATTACACAATTACCTTAGATAACAAGGTGTAGAACTGGATGAACACAGCAGGCCAAGCAGCATCAGAGGAGCAGGAAGGCTGACGTTTCGGGCCTAGACCCTTCATCAGAAATGGGGGAGGGGAAGGGGATTCTGAAATAAATAGGGAGAGAGGGGGAGGCGGATAGAAGATGGATAGAGGAGAAGATAGGTGGAGAGGAAACAGACAGGTCAAAGAGGCAGGGATGGAGCCAGTAAAGGTGAGTGTAGGTAGGGAGGTAGGGAGGAGATAGGTCAGTCCAGGGAGGACAGACAGGTCAAGGGAGTGGGATAAGGTTAGTAGGTAGGAAATGGGGGTGCGGTTTGAGGTGGGAGGAGGGGATAGGTGGGAGGAAGAACATGTCAGGGAGGCGGGGATGAGCTGGGCTGGTTTTGGGATGCGGTAGGGGGAGGGGAGATTTTGAAGCTTGTGAAATCCACATTGATACCATTGGGCTGCAGGGTTCCCAAGCGCAATATGAGTTGCTGTTCCTGCAACCTTCGGGTGGTATTGTTGTGGCACTGCAGGAGGCCCAGGATGGAGACGTTGTCTGAGGAATGGGAGGGGGAGTTGAAATGGTTCGCGACTGGGAGGTGCAGTTGTTTAGTGCGAACCGAGCGTAGGTGTTCTGCAAAGCGGTCCCCAAGCCTCCGCTTGGTTTCCCCAATGTAGAGGAGGCCACAATGGGTACAGCGGATGCAGTATACCACATTAGCAGATGTGCAGGTGAACATCTGCTTGATGTGGAAAGTCTTCTTGGGACCTGGGTGTGAAGGAGGAGGTGTGGGGGCAGGTGTAGCACTTCCTGCAGTTGCAGGGCAAAGTGCCGGGTGTGGTGGGGTTGGAGGGGAGTGTGGAGCAGACAAGGCAGTCACGGAGAGAGTGGTCCCTCCGGAAAGCAGATAAGGGTGGGGAGGGAAAAATGTCTTTGGTGGTGAGGTCGGATTGCAGATGGCGGAAGTGTCGGAGGATGATGCGTCGGAGGGACCACTCTCTCCGTGATTCCCTTGTCTGCTCCACACTCCCCTCCAACCCCACCACACCCAGCACTTTTCCCTGCAACTGCAGGAAGCGCTACACCTGCCCCCACACCTCCTCCCTCACCCCCATCTCAGGCCCCAAGAAGACTTTCCACATCAAGCAGATGTTCACCTGCACATCTGCTAATGTGGTATACTGCATCCGCTGTACCCGTTGTGGCCTCCTCTACATCGGGGAAACCAAGCGGAGGCTTGGGGACCGCTTTGCAGAACACCTACGCTCGGTTCGCAATAAACAATTGCACCTCCCAGTCGCGAACAATTTCAACTCCCCCTCCCATTCCTCAGACGACATGTCCATCCTGGGCCTCCTGCAGTGCCACAACGATGCCACCCGAAGGTTGCAGGAACAGCAACTCATATTCCGCTTGGGAATCCTGCAGCCCAATGGTATCAATGTGGATTTCACAAGCTTCAAATTCTCCCCTCCCCCTATCGCATCCCAAAACCAGCCCAGCTCATCCCCGCCTCCCAAACTTGTTCTTCCTCCCACCTATCCCCTCCTCCCACCTCAAACCGCACCCCCATTTCCTACCTACTAACCTCATCCCGCCCCCTTGACCTGTCTGTCCTCCCTG